CTCTACCACTTGGGAGCTCTATTACTTAATGGCTTTGTACCTCAGATTCTTCCTCTGCAAAGCAGAGATAAAAATAAAACTTCACAGGATTGCTCCAGGGGTTAAATGAATTCATACACGCTTGACCCATTGCAAGCACTTAGGCGATGTTGGACAAAGCAGTTGTAGTGTATATATGTGAGCATAGACACACACACACACGGCATCCAACTGTTCTGCTTGGAATTTTCATCATGCTACTTAACGTTCTGCTTGATAACGCCACTTAACCACTTCATGGGCTTCTTCTCACTCATCCTTTGATGTTTGTACATGCGCCAGCATTTAGGATACTAGTCCATAAGTAGCTGAGTAAACTAATGGGTCAATCATTCTCAACTCTTATTCAGAAAAATTAAAGAAGAATGTTTTATTCTACCTCAATCAGCACACAGTTCTCTTCTTCTTGCAAATAGAATGAAGTCAGTTTCAACTATGCCACTAAATCATTCAATGACAAATGTCAGAGTTGGAAATGGTCTTAGATAAGGTTTAGTCCAGTGATTTTCAACCTTGAATGCACATCGGAATCAGCTAAACAGCTTCTTAAAAAATACCCACATCCGGGCTCCACCTCTCGAGACTCTAGTTATGTGATCTGGGGCCAAAGCGTTGGTGCACAGTGGATTAAGCCTGCTGGGGATGCCCACATCCCATTCTGGAGTTCAAGTCCCAGCACCTTCACTTCCAATCCAGCTTCTTGCTAATGCATCCTGGGAGGCAGCAGATGTTGCTTCAAGCACTTGGGCCCCTGCCACCCACATGGGAGACCTGGATGGAGTTCCTACATCCTGGCTTCCACCTGGCCCAGCCCTGGCTGTTGCAGGCATTTGGGGAGTGAACCAGTGGATGGAAATTTCTCTCGCGCCCTCGCTCTTTTCAAGTAGATGAAAATAAATAAACAGATAAAATAAAACCTCACCCATGAGATTCTAATAGCCAATCCCCTTTGTTGACTTAATCCAACCCCTTAGTTTCCTAATGAGAAAACTAAAATCCAGAGATGTGAGCAACTTGCTTGCCCAAAGTCACCCAGTATGTCAGGGCAAGATGCAAGAGAAAGTGTAGCAGTGGCATTACGTTGGTAATGTTTATAATTTTTCCTGTTGGAGTTAAGCCCGGGAGCATTCCTCTTTGGTTGAGAGAGGTGTTATATAATTTACCTTTCACTTTGGCAGTGGCATTAGGCTTCTGCTAAGACCAAAATGGGTTCGCATTCCCTGACCACAAAAGGACAGAGACGGAATTGTACATTCACCGCACACAGCCCGCCACATTTGCCAAGCTCCCTAGAAGGCTGCTTGAAGTGCCTCAAATGCTTCTCCACAATAATCACCCAGAGCTGAGTGAGGGACCTCGCTGGGGTGGAGAAGAAAGCTGGAAAGACAAGAAGGCATTCTCCCCTAGTCGGGAGAGGGGGAGGGGGAGGCAGGGAACCAAATGAGAGCCGACAGGCTCTGCCAGGAGGTAAGGCCAGCGAAGGGAAAGAATTTCAATGAGTCCAGGGAGTCTGCACACAACCGTGAACCCTCCCGGGGGCTGGAGGTCGCCAGGAGACGTTAAAACGGGCTCGGCAAAAGAGGTACTAAAGTCAAGTCCTCCCCACGCTCACCAGAAAGTGAGCTCTCAAAATAAAGCAACGAGTTCAGATGCTGCACCAACCCTGCAGCTCCCTGCCCGGCCAAGACCTTCACTCCCTATCACCCCCACGCCTTAAAAAAGAGGGCGGTCTCCGCGTCACGTGACGTGGGGGTCACGTGAGCCGCGGGCGCCGAGGCGCATTCCAGCTCCCGGAGCCGGTGGGGGTTCGGCGTGCCCTGCCCCCAGCCAGACGCGACCATGCTGTCCCGTCTGCTCAAGGAACACCAGGCCAAGCAGAATGAACGCAAGGAGCTGCAGGGTGAGCCGAATATCGCGTCGGCATTTGTCTCTCCGGCCGCGGCCTAGCTTCAGCCTGGAGCCCGGACCTCGAGTAACTGCCCAGACCTGGCGAAGGGCGCCAGCTAGCGGGCAGCGAGCGTGGCGGAGAGCAAACCGAGGGGCGGCCTTTTTGGAGATTGCGTGCCCTGGCCAACGGGCTCTGGCCCCTTCGGCGACACTCGGGTCCCCCCTCGGCAACGCCGCCAATCCCCAACTTGGCGGCCTCGTAGCCCCGCCCTCTTTTCGTGGGCCGCTGTGCCTATTGGTAGGGCGCCTGTCATTCTGGGAATGGGGAGGAACGCCCCCGACGAAGGAGGCCGTGGGATTGCTCCCAGAGACCCGGTTCTAGGAGGCCTGAGACCGCCGAGGAGGGGGTGGGGGGCTCGCAGTCAGGCGTCGTGGGTGCTGCCCTTGGCGTCCTTAAGCGAGTCCGCCTCTCTCAGATGAAACTTTGCTTTCTATTTCGGTCGTTTTCAACTCTGACATCAGTGGAGAGGTTCGCATGAATGGGGGAAGAACCTGTAGCTCCACCCCTCAAAAACCAGTCCCGGCTCCAATCCCTCTTCTCCCCCCCCCCCCCCAGAGAAGAGGAGGCGAGAGGCTATCACGGCCGCGACCTGCCTGACCGAAGCCCTGGTGGACCACCTCAACGTGGGGTACGAACATCCTCCCGGCGACAGCAGCTCCCCATACCCCCACCCCGAGTTGGGGCACTGGCAAGGTCTGGCCCCCAGACCCCTTTGGAAGGAGTCAAATGTTCCACGCGGTCCCCCGCCCCCCACGGGGTTCCCAGCTTGACCGTCTGGAGACAGGCATCAGCCAGCTCTGCTGCTAGCCCTAGAAGAGGAAGGAGCAGCTGTGCTGGTTGGAGAGGCGGCCAGGGTTCCCCTGGCAGACACAAGTTGCTGCCATCTGCCCCCCCTTCTCCCTTCCCGGGCCAGCTGTCCTCCCGCGGGAGGGAACGCCCCCTCCTTCCCTGCGGCCTGCCCCCCTCTCCTTCTCGGCCTCCCACCCCGGCAAGCCTGAGGAGCAGCTGGCAGGAAAGGGCTGGCCCTGCTGGTGGGGTGAGGACAGGACCTGTGCCAGGAGCCCCGGAAGAGCCAAGCTGTCTCTTCCATCCCTCCCAGGTCTCCAAGGACCATCCCCTGCCAGGTCCCTAAGTGAATGCCAGTCACTGCCAGAGACCTGGGACCCCAGAGGCCCGAGGTGAGGATTGGAGAGTCAGATAGCCCCGTGGTACCACTGTCGGGGGGAAAGGAGGCAGCGTGGTGCCTTCCACCCCGGGGCAAGTAGATCAGCTTGGCCATGCGTGCCGGGATGAGTCAGCCAAGTGAGCCGTGCAGGGGCCGGGGTCATCTTCATTACTCATCCGTGGGGAGATCAGGGGAAGAGGCTGGGGCCAGAGCCTCTGGCCGCCTCCCTTCAGGCGGTCCTGTTCACTCAGCGCTGTCTCCGACCAGAAAGGCCAGAGCCTGTCCCTTTTCCTCCCTCCCCCGTTGGCGCCGCCTGGGTTCAGCTGTGTCTACCATTTCTGAGCTTGGCCCAGGCTTCCCCTCCTCTCCCTATGCCACAGGCCACCCCACTCTCAGCTCCCAAGGCAGCTGAGCCAGAGGCAGATTAGAAAGGGTTTTGTGTTGCTCCCACGGCTCTTCAGACAAAGGCCCCTGTCAGGTGTCCTGCCCCTTGCCTCGGCCAGCCCCCACACATTCCAGTGGGTGGAGGGCGCCGGATGTGGAGGCCCCTGGCTGGCCTAGAGAGCTTTGGGGTGCGGAGTGAAAGATTCATCAGCTAGGCAGGGAGAATAGTGATGAACAGCCCCGTGAGTCCATGGTCATCATGCTAACTGCCCCCAGCACCTTGGGGAAGAGAAAAGAAAAACCACTGCCTAGAACAGAAGGGAGGGAGTGTGTATGTGTGTGTGTGTGTGTGTGTGTGTTGTGTGCGGCTGAAAGGAGAAGGAGAGAAAGTGAGAGCCAGAAAGAAACCCCTGGGATATCCTTCCTGACCCAGAATTTCTGGGGAGGCAGTGAGCTCCCCCATCCCACCCTAGATTCGGCCGGGGAGGGGGCAGGGGGACCTCTTGCACAGATCACCAGCCTTCCAATCACTGGCAGATGTGTCCCTGCGGCTGGATTTTCCCAGCAGCACCACACCCCCTTCCCAGCTCCTCCCTCAGGAGGAATCCTGGGAGTGGGAAGAAGGAGCCGGGTCATTTGCATCACATCTGAGAGTGGCCAAAATCCCAAGGTTTTCCCTAGCCTGGCCCCTTGGCCGGCCTTCCCCTGCCGCACTGGAATCTCGGTGCCAGAGACCACCCGAGAGACCAGAGGGGCAAGCTGACCTCCTTCCTCCTCCTAACCCTAGTGTGGCCCAGGCCTACGTGAACCAGAGGAAGCTGGACCGCGAGGTGAAGACCCTGCAGGCCCAGGCTGCCCAGTTTGCCAAGCAGACAGGCCAGTGGATTGGGATGGTGGAGAACTTCAACCAGGCTCTCAAGGTGGGCCTCGCTCCCTTTATCACCTCCCCATTCTGGGCCCCCACAGTCTTCCTCCCTCAGGGGTTAGGGAGGAAGTGGAGCTGGTCCCAGAAGCCCCACCTGTGGCCCCAGTGTGTGAACAGCCAGAGAAAGGAAAGTCACTGGTGGGTCCAGGGGGTGGGTGAAAAGCACCCCCAGCCTGGGAGCCGCGCCTGCCCACCCACCTGCTTCCCCTTCCCAGGAAATCGGGGATGTGGAGAACTGGGCTCGGAGCATTGAGCTGGACATGCGCACCATTGCCACCGCGCTGGAATACGTGTACAAGGGACAGCTGCAGTCGGCCCCCTCCTAGCCACTCCACCCCCGCCCTCCACCCCGCCCTGCCTGTGTCACCCGCACCAGGCCGTGAATAAAACCCCAGCCTCCGTTCGTGTGTGGTGTGTTTCGAGGTGCTCCAGTGTGGGAAGTGGGATGGAAAGATCAAGGGTGACTCCCACAGGATGGTGCCATTTAGATACGGGTGGAACCAGCTTCCTCTTACTGTCCCGACCCGCTCCTCCTCCTCCTCAGGCCTGGTGCAGGTTCCTGTTGGGTAAGCTTAGGGTGCGAGTGTCCCACACTTCCCCAGAGAAGGTTCTAGGGGTCCTTAGGGCGTCCTAATTCGGGACTTGAGTTTCCTGCAGAAGAGAAGTAAGACACACAGCGTGCCTGGGCCCCTGCTCTGGCTCGGGGCCTCTCCACGTGCTCAGGGCCTCTCCCAGGCCAGCACTAAGCAGTGTCATGAGTCTGGGCCGGGTGCGAGATTAATTCTTGGAGGCACAGCAGGGCCAAGAAGGGGGAGGAATGACAGGTCCAAGGCCACCAGCCGAGAGGGGCAGCTGCTGTCCCTGACAGCTCCCTCCTGGGAGACCACGACACAGGTGGCCACTTACCCAGGCTGACAGCCCCAGAGGGGCCTGGGCAGATCTGGCCTCTGCTAAGCCCTGGCCGCAGGCAGCTGGGCTTTGGCAGACCTGGCCTCGGGGCTCCAGGCTCAGGGCTCCTCCTCCTCGGCCCTCCCTCCACCCCCCTCGTACATGTGCTTAATACTCCTGGCACCCGAGGCCACCCACTCGGACTTGGGCCTTAGCTGGAGCTAGCGTGGGAGCCTGGGAAGCCAGGAGCAAAGTCTCTTAAAAGCAAAACAAGAAGCTTCGGGCTTTGTAGGACCTGCGAGCTTTCCCCAGAGGAGGTAAGGGGGACCCTGGGAGCTGGGGTGCCGTGAGGGGAGGGGCTGGAGGTCCCGTGTGCCAGTAACTCAAAGCGCCAGGCATATCTCATCTTCCTCACGTGGCATCCCAGACCCTCATGGCTCAGGGTGTCAGCCCCGCTTGGCAAATGAGGTTCAGACACCGCCATACAAGTTGGAGGCCACCGGGACTTGGGCGAGGGGCTCCTGACCCTGTGATTCCAGGCACAAGGCCGGGGTTACACTTAGAGGGTTGGGGGTCGCTGCGGAGGTGAGAACAAACAAGGAGGTCCCTCTGCTCCCCAACACAGGCCCCGGCTCATCCGGCTTGAATCAGGTTAGCCACAGTGCAGGGCCTGCCCACGTCTGTGTTGCAGAGATGAGTTGTAGTTTGCCAGTTATTCACCAGGTAGCTAATTTCTCAAATCTGCTCAGACTGGACAGTCCCAGCCAGGGAGGATATTAGGGGCAAGGGCTTGGGGGCCAAGGCTTCTGCCCAGCCTACACTGCCACCTACAGGCCGTTTTGGATCCTGCCATGTGGCTGCTCCTGCTGCTGGGTGCCTTGCTCTGGGCAGGGCTGTGGCTGCTCAGGGACCGGCAGAGCCTGCCCAGCAGCGATGCCTTCATCTTCATCACCGGCTGTGACTCAGGATTCGGGCGCCTTCTGGCACTGCGACTGGACCAGAAGGGCTTCCGGGTCCTGGCCGGCTGCCTCACTCCCTCTGGGGCAGAGAACCTACAGCAGGTGGCCTCCTCCCGCCTCCACACCACGCTGCTGGACGTCACTGACCCCCAGAGTGTGCAGCGGGCAGCCACGTGGGTGGAGTCACACGTTAAGGAAGCAGGTGAGGACCCTGGCACCCAGGGGCGGTTGCTGTGGGAGGGCCTCACCTGCCCTCTGCGCCCGTCCCGTCTCCCCCACAGGGCTCTTTGGGCTGGTGAATAACGCTGGCGTGGCCGGGATCATCGGGCCCACACCGTGGCTGACACGAGACGACTTCCACCGCGTGCTGAGTGTGAACACGTTGGGTCCCATCGGGGTCACTCTTGCCCTGCTGCCCCTGCTGCAGCAGGCCCGGGGCCGGGTAGTGAACGTCAGCAGCGTCCTGGGCCGCCTGGCAGCCAACGGTGGGGGCTACTGTGTCTCCAAGTTTGGCCTGGAGGCCTTCTCTGACAGCCTGAGGTGAGGGGCGCAGGGCTGTGGGCTCCCAACCCAAGGACGGCCCTCCCAACAAACAAATTAGTGCCTGCCCAGGGTGGGCCAGCAAAAAATAAGACACAGCACAGTGGAGTATCCAGGAGGAGAGGGCTCAGGTCCAGACACCATGGATTCAAGTCCTTTCATGCAAGCTTAGGGTCTTTCTTATTTATTTATTTATTTATTTGAGAGGTAGAGTTACAGACAGAGCAAGAGACAGAGAGGAAGGTCTTCCTTCCACCGTCTCCCATGTGGGTGCAGGGGCCCAAGCACTTGGGCCATCTTCCACTGCTTTCCCAGGCCATAGCAGACAGCTGGACTGGAAGAGGAGCAATCGGGACTTGAACCGGTGCCCATACAGGATGCCGGCGCCGCAGATGGAGGATTAACCTACTGTGACATGGCACTGGCCCCTCAAGCCTCAGGGTCTTACAAAGATTCCTTCTCTTTACCCATTTTTTCTTCTCTGTTAAACTGGGATGAGAAGCTCTACCTCCCAGGTGTGGTGAGAGGTAAAAATAAGGGGCCCAGCAGTGCCTGGTAGGTACTAAGTGCTCAGAAAAGCCTGCTATTGCTATAAATAGGGAAACAGACTACCATCACTAAGTAGCACATGGCCAAAATGTAGAAGGAATACACACCAGCTAGCAGACGCGCTGGGGCCTCCCACCCCTCATCAGTCAGTAATCCTGTTCAGGGGGCCATGGGTGCACAAAGGAGGTGGGGCAGGACGACAGGGCAGCGGGGCCTCAATGTTGAGCCGAGCACAAGGCGCTCAGGAAGCCCGCCCTCTTCCCCGTCACTCAGTATTTTCAGCGTTCCCCTCTGTCTCGGTCCCTCAGCCTTTCATTTCCCAGTCAGCCCGGAACACAGGCTTTACATGTGGACTTCTGCGTCTACACCAGGGCACTGGCATGTGTCCCCACCGCCCCCACCCCCAGAACTACCAGTCTGCACCCTGCATGTCAGCACTCGGAACTCACGGGGTTGTTCTCAGGCCAGCTGCAGCCAACTGCCTGCAGGCTCATAATGGTCAGGCTAATTGTGTTTCTTGGCCCATGGTGCCTAAACTGGGTGGCCCTTTAAGGAAAAGTGTGCTGACCTCTGCTACAGATCGTAGAAGAAAATATAAAGCCTCCGGCTGCCAGGCAGCCCGGACCTCCCCCGTCAGGGCTCCTGCCCCTCATCTGTGTTAAGGCCCTCATCTTAGCTGCCCAACCTGTGCACCACAGGGCAAGCGCCCTGAGCCCTCCCTCTGCCCCTACTCCAGGCGGGACGTGGCTCCTTTTGGGGTCCAAGTCTCCATCGTGGAGCCTGGCTTCTTCCGAACCCCTGTGACCAACCTGGAGAGCCTGGACAGCGGCCTGCAGGCCTGCTGGGCACGGCTGCCCCCAGCCACACAGGCCCAGTACGGGGAGACCTTCCTCACCAAGTGTGAGTAGCGGGGCCAGACGGGGGCATGGGACGGCAGGACGGGAAAGGACCACCAGGAAGGTCAGTCCCACCCCAGCCTGTGGGAGGAGTGGGGGCAAACAAGATGGGATGCCATGCACAGCAGCCCAGTCCCACCCCCCAAACGGGGCTGGGGGGTGAGGAGGCGAGGAACCCTCTGACCTTGCTAGGAACAAGCCCAGGACCCAGAAGATAGGGCCCAGGAGGGGGGCAGTGTCCTGAGGCTGATGACACCCACCACGGGGCCGCAGATCTGACAGTGCAGCGACGCATCATGAACCTGATCTGTGACCCGGACCTCACCAAGGTGAGCAAGTGCCTGGAGCACGCCCTGACTGCTCGTCACCCTCGAACCCGCTACAGCCCAGGCTGGGACGCCAAGCTGCTCTGGCTGCCGGCCTCCTACCTGCCGGCCAGCCTGGTGGATGCCGTGCTCACCTGGGTCCTTCCACAGCCTGCCCAGACCGTCTACTGAATGAATCAGCCTCCCAGAGAGACTGTTTTCCAAGAGCAAGGACTCTGACTTGTTTCTGCCCTCGTTCTGGTACCATCTGGTGCCTGGCGCAAAGCAGGCACTCAATAAATGTGTACTGTCTAAAAAGCAGAAAGTGAGTGAGCAGAAATGAAGGCGTCCCCAAACTGCCAAGTCTTTAGTGCCTGCAAAACGCCCACTGGGGGGCGCCGGGAACTCCTGCATCTTCGGGTGAACTTTGCAACCGCACCCGGAGGAGTGGCCACCAGAGGGCACTTTGCATGTGTCACCTATTTTCTGCATGGAGTAAGGTTACAATTCTGTGTTTGTACTGGGAATGGATCTTTAGCTCTCTTCCGTGATGAAGCATCAGGGCCAACTTGAGTGGTTTCCAAGGGGAGGGGGGGGGATACTCATTCTCCTCAGTCCAGAATGAGGGAAAGTGGCCACCCTACTTATCAGCACCCTGAAAGGAAGCAGGTCCCCTTGAGAACTGCGCGAGAGGGGGCTGCTGGGCCCCCAGGTGCACAGAACGCCAGGGAGAGCGTGGCCACAGCTGACCCAGGCTGGGCTCTCCCAGGTGAGGCCTGTGTGGGAATCCTGGGACTTACCCAGGAGGTGGTTTCATGGATGTTCCAGCAAAGAGCGCAGGGCTGGGGGCAGAGAGGGCACTGGGCCGGCGCCTCCTCCAGACCCCACATCCCCCTGCCAGCCCACTCAACACGTTCAAGCACAACCCCCTTTCCCAGACGCTCACCACCTGCCTTCCCCGGCGGTGCACACAGAGCAAGGGAACAAGGATAAGGAGGAAGAGGTCAGGTATTGCTTTGAGACAAACAGACACCATGTCTCTTTTCGGTCTGAAAAAATAATCCGTTTAATTGAAAAACCTGGTGGATACGACTGCACTCCCCTAGACGGAGGGGGCTGAAGAGACCAGAGCCCTACATCACCTCGTAGCCACTTCGAATGCTCTTCACAAGGCAGCAGGCAAAGACAATGCCCAGGACCTAGAAGGACAGAGGCAGAGGGGAGTGAGGAGGGCAAGCCACCCCAGATCCACCCGTGGGACCACGGGCCCCTGCCCGGGTCATCTCTCACCTCCACAAAAGCAATGCCCAGGGCTGCTGCCGCCACCACCAACACGTTTTTCCTCAGCCACAGCCCGATCTTCTCCACGCAGCCCTGAGGGGAGGCAGGCACACAGGTGAGAGCACTACCAGAGCTTCCCACCAGCCGGCACCAGGCACCTGGCCCGCCACCTCTCGTCCCTGACCCTGTCCACCTCCCATCCCTAACCCCGGCCACCTCCGTCCCAGAACGTTTCCGTGCCTCCTGAAGCCTCCGCCAGGTTATCCAGCCCCCTCCCTACCTCGACATAGATGTCCTTCACGTTGAACTTGACCCCACAGCCCGAGGTGACGTTGACACAGCAGGAGTCAGGGACGCGATCCCTGGTCATGCCAGGGATGGTCGCCCAGTCCGTGTAGTTAGCAGCCCCACAACACGTGAACTGGGGGAGGAGAGGGAGACGGGGGAGAGGGTGGTGATGTGAGCCTCCCCCCTTGGCATGGCGACGCCTCTGCCCCCGGCAGCCCCGCTCACATCTTTCTGCATCCTGTCCAGGATTAAAGCGGTCTGGTTGTCTGTCGAGTAATTCTGCATCTGCTGCCGGAAATCCTTATTAAACTCCGACATCACCTGAGAGTAAGGAGAAGCGCTGTTGAGGTCCGAATCCAGGCACCTGGGTTCTGAGCAGCCCAGGGGAGGACCGGCCCCTCACTCCCCACTCACCTTGTCTCTAAACACGTAACCAGCAATGGCAGCGGCCACCTCCACCAGCATGATCAGAGACAGGAAGATGGCAAACTGCAGGGGCACAGCACAGGAGTCAGCCTTCCAGTCTACGACCCGAGACCTGGCCACGGGGACACGTCCCTGGCACCACCACTCACCGTGATCATAAGACAATAGTTCTCCTTGCAGGTTCCACAGCAGCCCACAAAGGCCACCAGGAAGAGGAAGGCCCCCACGGCAATGATGACCACAGGCAGCAGGGAGCCAGGAGTCGCTCCGTGGGTTATGGTCTGACTCAAGACGAGCTGCGCCCCCACACCCACGGCAATCAATCCCACTGCACAGGCCTGAGCGAGAGGGCACGGGAGGGTTAGGCTGGCCGGAAACACAGAGCTGACCCCTGGAGGAGAGGCCTAGCCGCACTCCTCCGGGAAAGGGGACTGCGGGGGAGGGGATGGAGGGACTGGGGAGAAAGGAGAAGCTACCGGTGAGCTGTGACCCCGGGGCACACATTCCTGCCCAGAGCAGGACGAGCCTCCAGGGCGCCCAGCCCCGGTGCCAGCCCACGCCTTGGCGGTGACAGCTCCGCCGGCCGGCTAGGCCAGGAAGGAGAAGGGGCAAGGGTGCTCCTCCCTGGACAAACTGCGGCTTCTCGGCCCGGGCGGGAGCCACTTGGGGTGAGCAGTGCCCTTCCTCGCCCCCACAGAAGCCGGGCGGGAAAGAGGGGAAGGATGTGGGGTGGAGGAAGAGGGGGCCGCGGGAGGACGGGGCAGAGGAGCCTCGTGGCGATAGCATCAGGCCGTTGGCTGGTTGCCCCACTGCCCCAATCACAAGTGGTTGGGTCACCAGACAGGAAGGGCCAGGAGGGGTGGGGGTGGGGCGCTGCCCGTCCAAGAGGACCACTTTTCGGTCAAATGGGCCTCCGGGGTCCCCGAAAGCCAGAAGACGGGGTGGCGGCGCCGCCCTCGGCCCCGTTCCCCGGGCTCTCCCCGCACATCTGGCCTGCAGCTGCCTTGGCTCTCGGCGGTCGGGAGCCAGGGCACCCCCCACCCACCGACCGCGCCCCGCCAGGCTCGCGCCCGAGCTCCGCACTCACGCAAAAGGCCAGCAGGAGCACGTAGAGCAAGAACTTGACACATTTCATTCCTCCTTCCACCGCCATGGCTGCCGGGCCTGGGGTCCAGGGGAGGCGGAGAGGGGGGATTAGGGGAACCTCGCTTTCCGAGCTCCCCGCCGGCCCTCGAGGCCTTCCCTGCCCGGCCCCCATTCCCGGCCCCTCCCACCCGGAAAGCCCGCGGTCGGTTCCACGTCTCCCAGCCCCCTCGCTCCCCGGGCGGCAGAGGGGTGGGGGTCCCCGCCCGCCGCGGCGCGAGCTTGGGGCAGCTCCCGGGGGCTCGGGACTGCTGCCGACCCCCGGCCCACCAGCCCCGGGCGTCCCACCAGTCCCGAAAAACGGCCCTCCGGCCCAATCCCGAACCCACCCCGTAGGCTCCTCGCCAGCGCTCTGGGCTGCCCCCCGAAAATTAAACAAGTGCGGCAGGCACCCCCGCCCACCCCGCCCCTGCTCGGGAACTTCCGAGCAAAGTTGCTCCAGGGCCCGGAGCGCCAGCTGAGAGCGCGGGGCGGGTCTTCGGCGGCCCCGGGCGAGCCCCAGGAAAGGGGCGCCCGAGCGGCCTCCCCGACCCCGCGCCCGAGCCCGCCGCGGCCCCCGCGGCCTCACCTGGGCTCCCCGAGGCTGTGCGCTCCGCTCCTGCCGCGGCTCAGGGGCTCTCTAGCGGCGCCCCCCGGCTGCTGCCCCGCCCGCCGCGCGGCCCCGCCCCGGGCTCCGGCCACAGCCCCCTCCCCCGCCGGGCGGCCGCCGGCCTCCCTCATGTGACGCGGGAACAGCTGCGGCCTGAGTCACCGGGGCCGGCCCGGGGAGGGCCGAGCCCCCCGCCCAGCGGGAGCCACGTGGCCCCCCGGCCTGCAGGACAGCGCCCACGCCCGCCCAGGGAAGGCTCGGACGGCCGGGCCCTGCAGGCGCCTTGGGGCCCTCATGGCGCCCCCACCTCCGTGCCAGCTCGTGGTAGGACGGCGGGACCGAGCGCCGCCTGGTTCCCTCTGGCTCTGGGCGCGGCAGAGGAGGCGGGCGAGGGCCGAAAGCGGGGGCGGTGGGTGGCCGGGAGCTGCCCTCGAAGTCGCCGCCGAGTCGCTTCCTCCGCCACCTCTGGGATCGAGCCCCTACCCCCAGCCCCAGCCCCAGCCCTGAGTCTGCAGCGAGAGCCGTGGGCTGCTTGGGACTGGGTGGGCCAGAATAAACACGTCCAGGGAGTCTCGCAAATTCTAAGTGAGGGCTCCTCCATTCTCCAGGGCGGGGAGAAGGCAGGAGGCCCCCTTCCACGGCCACCCCACCCCTCCAGGCCGCGTCAGGGCGGGTCCCTCGGGTCCCTCCCGCGGAGGAGGAGTGCCAAGGTCTGTGCCCCGCTGGCTCATGGCTCCTGTTACTGGGGACGACAGCAGGGCAGGGGCTGGGGTATCCAGGCTGGGGGCACGCTCCAGGGCCGCCGGCGGTCTCCACCCCTTAGGTGCTTCTGGACCTGCCTCAAAACCACTTCCCGTGTCTTGGGCGTGTGGGTGCACACAGAAGCTGTCAAAGGGACAGGAGGGGAGGGCGGGCCTGGCCGGGTGCAGAAGCAGTCTCCAGGATCCTGGCCTGGACTTTGCTTCCCCTCACCGCGGCAGGAAGGCTGCGGAGGAGGAGGAGCGAGGGGCCTGAAGAAAGGAGTAGTGATCAGCTTCCTCCCCGTGCCTCGGCTGGATGCCAGGCTTGTGCATCCAGGGGAGGAAGACCAGAGCCCTGCCTGCTCTCTGCAAGCAACAAACCAAGCTCTGTCCTGGGCGTGAAGAAAGGCAGATGCGTCAGGTGACAGTTGGGCACACAGGGAGGAGGGCACCGGGTGGGCGGCTTAGCCCCCCCCCCCCCCCCCCCCGCCCAGTGACCTTGCAGGATCTCAGTTCCAGACAGGGAAAGAAAGAAGCATTTTTCCAAAGCACGTGGAGTTGCCTCAAAGGCCAAGGGAAGGATGTGGTGAAGATGGGAGGGGAGAGAGCTGAGATGCCCAGCCACCAAGTTCAGCACTTGGTCCTGGATTCAATTGGATGCCTGAGCAACCCAGCTGTGAAAGACTTGCTGGGGGGGGGGGGGTGGTGCCAGGGCTGTAGTGTAGCTGGAAAAGCTGCCTACTGCAACTCCAGCATCCCATTTGCCTGCTAGTTTGAGTCCTGGCTGCTCCACTTGTCATCCAGCTCCCTGCTAATGCTTCTGGGAAAGCAGCTTTTTTTTTTTTTTTTTTTTTTTTTTTTTTTTTTAAGATTGGTTTATTTACTTGAGAGAGTTACAGACAGAGAGAGGGAGAGACAGAAAAGTCTTCCATCCGCTGGTTCACTCCCTAAGTGGCCGCCACAGCCGGAGCTGGGCCAATCCGAAGCTAGGAGCCAGGAGCTTCATCTGGGTCTCCCAGGTGGTGCAGGGGCCCAAGGACTTGGGCCATCTTGCACTGCTTTACCAGGTGTGTCAGCAGGGAGCTGGATCGGAAGTAGAGCAGCTGAAACTTGAACCGGCACCTGTATGGGATGCTGGCACCACAGGCAGAGGTTTAACGTACTATGCCACAGAGCCAACCCCATAAATAAATCTTTAGAAAGAAACAAAAAAAAAAGTTATCTGAAAATCCATGCATTGTGGCACAGCAGGTTAAGCCACCACTTGCAGACACTAGTATTGAATCCATGGATTTGTGAGGGCTCGCAGCCTCAGAGAGCTTTTCCATCTCAGGAATGTGGGGGCAGGGATTAGCAACCAGGAAAGGAGCTGACAGTGAAAGGCCCTTGCTGCACTATTGCAGGTACTGGGCTGGACACCTGGGCTGATGAGGTCAGCGTTGTCCTCAGACAGCCTTGTGAGGTCGGTGCTTTCCTGCTTTCAGAGATAAGGGAGCAGACTTAGAGACATGGAGTCACACCCAGAGTTCAAGCTAGTGAAAAGCAGGCTGAGGATTTTAACCCAGAGCTCACGGGGTTCCAAAGCCTCTGCTTACTTCTCTCTCTCTAGGAGGCCAAGAGAAAAGAGAACCTCAAGACGGGAAGAGAGGGGACAGTGACTGGAAGTGTCACATCGTATGGTGGGAAGTAGAAGGCCACAGAACCAGTGGCTCTCTCTGGACCAGGGTCAGGAGCACCTGCTGAGGCTGAAGTGGAGACATGCGCGTGGGCAGGGAGAGAGCACGGGTGGTCAGCAGAAAGGGACTCCTGGAGGGGTACCACGGGAGGGGCTGTGAGCAAACTGCAGCAAGTGCAGAGTGGTGGGGCCGGGGGAGCCCCAGAAGACCCAATCATGTGGAGCTGGAAGGGAGGAACAAGGAAGGGCAAGAATGGCCCATTCTTTAAAAAAAAAAAAAAAAAAAAGATTTTATTTATTTGAAAGTCAGAGTTACACAGAGAGGAGAGTCAGAGAGAGAGAGAGAATCTTCCATCCTCTGGTTCACTCCCCAATTGGCCGCAACAGCCAGGGCTGCGCCGATCTGAAGTCAGGAGACAGCAGCTTCTTCCAGGTCTCCCACGCGGGTGCAGGGGCCCAAGGACTTGGGCCATCTTCTACTGTTTTCCCAGGCCATAACAGAGAGCTGGATCGGAAGTGGAGCAGCCAGGATAGAACCAGCGCCCATATGGGATGCCGGCACTACAGGCCAAGGCATTAACCCGCTGTACCACAGCGCCAGCCCCAAGAATGGCCCATTCTGTAGGAGAAAAAAAGATTGATTGATTTAACAGGGAGAGCAAGAGAGAGGGGAGAAGGGGAGAGACAGAGATGGAGACTTCTCATCTTCTGGTTCACTCCCCAAATGGCCCCAACAGCCTGGTCTGACACAGGCTGAAGCCAGGAGCCAGGAGCTTCGTCCGGGTCTCCCACATGGGTGCAGGGGCCCAAGCACTTGGGCCATCCTCCACTGCTTTCCCAGGTGCATTAGCAGGGAGCTGGATCAGAAGCAGAGCAGCCGGGGCTCGAAGCAGCACTCCCACGTGGGATGCCGTTGTGGCCAGCAGCGGCCTGACCCTCTGTGCCCAAGAATAGCCTCTTCTGAGTGGAATTCATGGAGGCAGAGGGGAGCGTGGTGAGCGCCGGGGGCTGCGCAGGGGAAATTGCTGTGCACGGTTTCACAGAGGGAAGGTACAAACATTCTGGAGACAGAAGGAGGTGGTGGTTGCACAACATACTGCCACTGCACCGTCCACTACGGAATGGTGAGAATGTCAGAAGACTTTAAGCTATCTGTATTTTACCACAAAAGAAGAGGCGCAGCGGGTGCTGGGCCTAGCACTTGAGACACATGTCCCAAATCAAAGGACCCAGGTTTGATTCTCAGCCCCAGCTCCTGACTCCAGCGTCCTGCCAACACAGACCCTAGAAGGCAAGTAGGTGGGTCCCTGGCCCCAAGTAGGAGATCTGAAGACCAGGAGAGCAAGACAGGGGCTGGGGGCCAGTGCTGTGGCGTAGCAGGTTAAAGCCCCAGCCTGCAGCGCTGGCATCCCATATGGGTGCCAGTTCGAGTCCCGGTTGCTCCACCATGCTGGGAAAGCAGTGGAAGATGGCCCAAGTCCTAGGCCCCCTGCACCTACGTGGGAGACCAGGAAGAAGCTCCTGGCTCCTGGCTTCAGCCTAGCCCAGCCTCAGTCATTGTGGCCATTTGGGGAGTGAACCAGCAAATGGAAGACCTCTCTCTTTACCTCTCTCTGTTTATTTTCAAATAAATAAAAAATAAATAAATCTTTAAAAAAAGACAGGGGCTGTGCTGCGGGGGCTCACACAGCAGCCCAGCACAGGCTCCCCAGACAGTGGGTTCTAGACCCCAGGGAGCCCCAGTCGGAGCGCAGCACAGCGACATCACCACTGATATACTGCTTAGAGGTGAGAGAGGGAACTCCCCCGTCACTGGTGTGGGCAGCTCTGACCACACCAGCTCCTTCATGGTGGGCAAGACCAGGCCCCCGGGGTTCACAGGAGAATGCATCCAACATGCCCTTGCGTCTGCACAGAGATGAAGCCACACTGGCTGCATCGGCCTGCAGGGCTGGGTCCCTCACACCTGCCACCAGCACAGACCACAGGCTGCTGGGACACCTGGTTCTGCCACTCCCGAGGGGGTGACCTTGGCTAAGCCCCCACCCCTCCCTGAGCCTCAACTTCCTCCTGGCTGAGTAGGAGAAAAACAGCTCCTCCCCCACCTCCCAGGGCAGTTGGGGGCGGGGGTTGGCTTTGTTACCTTAAGAATGCTAAGCCCAGGGGTCCGTGTTTGGCACAGCAGTGAAGGCGCCATTCGGGATATCCATGATGTATCGGAGCGTCCAGGTTCAAGGCCCAGCGCTGCTTCCAGTTGCAGCTTCCTGCTAATGCACACGCTGAGGGGCAGCAGTGCTGGCTCAAGTACCTGAGTCCCTGCCCCCTACAAGGGAGACCAGCTCTCAGCTCCAGCCCCAGCCCAGCTCCAGCCATTGTGGGCATTTGGGGGATGAATGAGCAGATGGGAGATTTCTCTCTCTCTCTCACCTTCCTCTCCAATAAATAAAAGACAGCGTAAGTTCTGAACCTGGCATTTGGCACAGGGGTTAAGACACCACTTGGGATACCTGCATCCCATGTCAGAGTACCTTGGGTTTCAGTTCTGCTTCCTGCTAATGTGCAACCCTCATGTATGCGGGTCCCTGCCATCTGCATGGGAAACCTGGATTGAGTTCCCATCTGCCAGCTTCAGCCTGGACCAGCCAGCCCCAGCTTCTCCCCCTCCCACGCACCTTGGCCTTGGCCCAGACCCCCATTCCAGTCCCAAGGCCCAGCTCCTGTTTGTGACGTCCTACCCGACCCCGACCTGGCTCTCTCTTCAGGGCCCTCCTCCATCCCAACCTCATTCTTTCTGGTTTTCCCTGACTCCTGTCTCAGTCTTTTCCCAGCAAGGGTCACCATTACCAATGGGGTTGACCCAGCCTGCCTGGTGGGTGGGCAGGCGGGCAGCCCAGGACCCTCAGCCAGGCCCATGGCTTCCTAGGGAGGGTCTTAGCTTCTGTGTGTCTCCCCTCCAGGACCTGGCTCAGGAGCATGGTGGCACCCACTGGAGAGCCGCAGAAATTCACAGCCAAGGTTTCTCCCAGGACGAAGCAGAGGTGGACATGGGAGAAAGGAGAAAAAGCAATGCTGGCGGGCCGGGTGATCATCTCAGCTTTCCGTTCCTTTGGGACTGAAAGAGCAAGCTTTTATCCGTCCATGAGTAGGAACCCTAAACAGCCCAGGCACTGGGGCTATATGGAGTTGAGGTTCACACCCCCAGATGCCTGCAACGGTCAGGGCTGGGCCAGGCTGAAGCTGGCAGGTCTTCTGTGCAGATGGGTGGCAGGAACCCAAATACGGGAGTCATCAGCTGCTGCCCCCCAAGTGCGCATTAGCAGGAAGCCGGAATTGGGAGAACTGGGACTAGAACCCAGGTACTCTGGTATCCCAAGCAGCGTCTTAACCTCTGCACCAGAAACCCCAGTCTCCAAGATTCTTAGGTGGTTTGGGTGGGGGGAGGGCTTGCACAGCATGGGGGAGCATCCAAGGACCTGCGCTGAGAGGCTCCAGGGAGGAGGTGCTCACCAGCCACCTCCCAGACCGGCTACATCCCTTCCCATGGGCAGCTTGTCTTGCCCTCCGGTCTCTTGACTTCTGTGTCTCCTTCCCGGCACCCAGCCTGCCTCTCTGGTCATGCTCTCACCATTGCTGCACACACCTCACCTTCACTGCCCTGTGCCCACCGCTGACTCTTCTCTGGACACTGGTCCCTCCAGACCTGCCTGCCTTGGGGTCATAGCGCAGTGGGTTAAGCTTCAGCACCCCCTCATGAGTGCCAGTTAGAGCCACCGGCTGCTCCGCTTCTGATCCAGCTCCCCGCTAACGCGCTTAGAAAAGCAGCAGACAGCCCGAGTCCTCAGGCCCCTGCCACCCATGTAAGAGACCCGGAAGGTCTCTCCAGCCCCAGCCATTGTGGTCATCTGGAAAGGGAACCAGCTGATGGAAGATCTCTGTCTCTCACCCTCTCTGTAACTCTGCCTTTCAAATAAAATACACAAATCTTAACAATACCACTTCCTGGCAGCCTAGGTCAGCCCCTCCGCCAGCATCCTGGTGTTCCTGGACAAGCTCTCAGACCCCTGCTTTCCTAACCAGCAGCTCCAGGGCCGGTGTGGCCAGCTGAGGCAGCCCCGGCATCGGGCCCAAAAACCGGAGCAATAGAGGCAGGAAAGAGCGGAGAGGCTTGGAGGTCGAGGGAAGAAAAGAGAGGGCGTGCAGCCAGCGGGTGCGGAGCTCGCCTGGGGGTGGGGGGCGCGGGGGTGCAGCCCCTTCCGTGGTGTCCTGCCTCCACTGCCACCCCTCTCCCAAAACACAAACTCTTTGGCCACCTCCTACCAACTCCCAACCTCTCCTGGAGGGCCTTGGGGCCGCCGAGGGACCCAGGCAAGATAATGACCGGGTTCAGTACGTGGTGTGGGAGAGGGCGGTAATTACACAGGGAAGGGCTTCTGCTCCAGGGCCCGCAGGGTTTTGTGGGCAGAGGCCCGGGGGCGGTCCTCCCGCCCCCCACAAACCCCGGCCCAGAAATGCCTCCCCGCAGCCCCGGGGGCCACAGGCTAGAAGAGCCGGTGCGGGAAGGGAGGCCCTGGGGGCGCCTCGCCCCCCACCCACCCCGCGCATCCAAAGAAGGCCCGCGACGCCAAGGAATGCGTCCACCGACTCCCAACACAGGGCGCTCAGCCAGGACGGGGGACCCCGCGTGGGGAGGGGAGAAAAGGGCCGGCCACTGCCGAGCCCGGTTCCGGCGGACGACGCGGCTGCGGGCGGGCGTGCGGGACAGCAGGGGCCGCCGCGCCTTACGGCCGTCTCGCCACCCGGCAGCCGCACCTCTCAGCAGCGCGCAGGCCTCCCGGGCCGCGAACCCCCGCGGCGGGGGCCTCCCCGCAGCGCCAGACCCGCCCAGAAGTGGCGCAGGTACCGCTCGCCCTCCCCCCCTCCGCCTTCCAGGTCTCCGGAACGCCCCCTGCCCCCGGAAGGCCACCGCCTTCGCGCCCACCAGTCCCACCTCAACGCCCTCCCTGTAGGCCCCGGCCCACATTTGCCGCGAGCCAGTCAGAACCTCGGAGGAGGCGGGCCTGGAGGTTGCCGGGGTAACGCCGCGCTGGGGGTGGGGGGGCTCCCCGGGCTGGAGAGCAGTTGCCAGGGAGACCAGGCGGTGGGCGGGGCGCCCAGGCGCAGTTCCCTGGACTAGGGTGAGATCCCCACGTCCGGATCCCTGCCCACCAGGGCGCCTTCCTCAGGAGTGAGCCTGGGGGCAGCTGGGGTGGTGACGCTCCCAAGGCGTTAGTTCCTGCAGGGACCACGCCCGAGGGACCGTCAGGAAAAAGACAAGGGCTGGAGAATGGACGAGGCTTAGCGCACTGGGATAAACTCCTAGAACTTCTCCTCGGACCAGAAGTCTAAAGTGAAAAATTGGAAACTATCCCCTCCAAAACACACACCCAAAATCTTGGCTTTAATTTCACCTCCCAAGAGCTGACATTCCGAATCCCACCACGAGATGGCAGCCATGTCCACGTATTGGTTAAGCACAGTCCTGGAACCAGGACAGAGGCCAGGAGCTGGAAATCCTGTCTCATAAATTGTTCCTGACTCTAACTCCCTGATATTTGGCAGACACCATAACCGGGCATGAGCATTAATACGCAGTTTTCACTTCCCTATGCATCTCCAGCCAGGTCCACTCAGCAGGGCCAGGCCACTGAAGAACACTCAAAACACTCTCTTGGGTCTCCCCGTGGGAGGGCTCTAAGTTGGGGCAAGAGTAAGGACACACAATGCACTTGGATGGAGGCATCAACCATTTCACCCCCACGATCTTAGGAAATAGGTGCAGGGTTTGCTCTCATCTTAACACACAGGAAATCTGAAGCACACAGAGATTTAATAACTTGCCCGAGTTCACACAGCCAGAACATGGTGAGAGCTGGGACTTGAAGCAGGCAGCCGAATTAGATTCTCAAAGCCTTGTGGTTAACTGCACCCGTCACGGCCCAGGTAGACCTAGGGAGAACATCTCGCCTAGACAGGGGTGGGGGCTGGAAAGGACTCCTGCCTGCCACTTAGAAAATCTTCTCCAAGCTGAGACCCAGGAAAGAGCCAAGTCCCCAGTGGGTTGGAGGGAGAGGAGCTAGGAGTGGGAGTTGCTCTAGGAAGAAGAATCAACAGAGGAAGATTGGGACACGGTCAAGAGAAGGGGGTGGAATGCTGTATCCAGGTTTCCAGGCGGGAGGAGTGAGGCTCCGTCACCTTGGGACTGTGAGATGGCCCACATGCGAGGGGGAAAAGAGGAGAGTTCTGGGGTTTTTTTAAAGATTTATTTTATTTATTATTTGAAAGAGTTACACAGAGAGAGGAGAGGCACAGAGAGACAGAGAGGTCTTCCATCCTCTGGTTCACTCCCCAATTGGTCATAATGGCCGGAGCTGTGCCAATCCGAAGCCAGGATCCAGGAGCTTCTTCCAGGTCTCCCACGTGGGTGCAGGGGCCCAAGGACTTGGGCCATCTTCTACTGCTTTCCCAGGCCAGAGCAGAGAGTTGGATTGGAAGTAGAGCAACCAGGTCTTAAACTGGCACCCATTTGGGATGCCGGCACTTCAGGCCAGGGCGTTAACCCGCTGCGCCACAGCGCCGGCCCTGAGATTTCTGTTTAATCTGTGATTTTTTAAGGACTATGAATATAATAAATATAATATATAAAAATATATATTATATAAATAAATATTTATTTATTTATTTGAAGGTCAAAGCTACAGAAAGAGTGGGAGAGGCAGAGAGAGAGAGAGAGAGAGAGATCAACCTTCCATCCACTGGTGCACTCCCCAAGTGGCCGCAATGGCCCAGGCTGGGTCGTGCTGAAGCCAGGAGCCAAGAGCTTCTTCCAGGTTTCTCACATGGGTGACAGGTGCCCATGCACTTGGGCCATCTTCTACTGCTTTCCCAGGCCATTAGCAGGGAGCTGGGTCGGAAGTGGAGCAGCCAGGACTTGAACCAGCTGCCACCTGGGATGCTGATGGGTGGCAGCTTTACCTGCTATAGCACAGTGCTGGCCCCAAATCTGTGATTTGATTTTTTTTAATATCACTTTTTTTTTTCCATTTTATTTGAAAGGCAGAGAAAGAGAGAGACAGATGGAGAGAAATCTTCCAAACAGAGGTTTACTCCCCAAGTGCCCAACACAGCCAGGCCTGGGGCAGGCGGAAACCAGGAGCCAGGAACTCAATCCAGGTCTCGCACTTGGCGGGGCAGGGCCCAAGTTCTTGAGCCATCACTGATTGCAGCTGGGTCAGAGACTGAAACAGGGCACTCCAATACGGGAGGTGAGTGCTCCTTATCTGTGGTTTCTGAGGTGCCTAGAGCAGCTCAGTGGAGACACTCGGGGGCATCTGTCCTGGGCTGGGCCTGGCACCGTTTGTCCAGTGTCTTGTCCATGCCACATGATTCTTGAGGAAAGGAGCACCTGCCACAAGGGCCATGTTTGGCCAGGAAGTGAAGACGGGGCTGAGAGCCAGAGGTAACACCACCTCTGCTCAAGGTGTTTGCCATTCTGCCGCGAAGATGACATCAGAAAAACATGCTGGTTATGCCAGCGTCTGTGGGAAAGGCTCCAGGCGGTCAGAGAGGAGAGGAAAAGAATTGCAAAGAAAGAGAAACCCCCCATGAGGGCCTCGGCCAGAGGATTCCGAGGAAGGTCGGCGCTGTGACCTCCTTGTCCCACCTCTTCGAGGAAGGAACTTGAGATGCCCGGATGCCCAGATGCCCATCTTCCGGTCCAAATCAAGGGAGGGAAGCAGCGGTCTGTTTTTGTTCCATTCTATTGCAGCCTCAGGCCCTGTCCCCCATGAACATGCACCGTGAAAATGCACCGTCTCTTCCAAGATCCCCGGCTCAGGCCCCTGACCCCTACACCTTCTCACCTCACACCTGCATCCTCACTGCACTCCAACCCCCAGCCCCAACTCTCTCCACTGCCCAGTGCTCCCTGCACCTATGCCAAGCCGACTTCCAGAGAGGACCCGATGTGATGTCCCTCATGCATGATAACGGAGCTTATCCATTTACTCAACAACCATTGCATGTGCCAGGAAATAAACAAGACCTGAGTCCCTGGAACATTTCCTGTTTATTGATCTCCAGGGCTTTGGGGTTAAAAAAAATCAACCTGGAGGAACTGGGGTCAGAGCATCAGGAGTTAAGCAACCTCAAAGCACTCCTGCCCTCGGCCCTGGGGCGATGCCCAGGGTCGCATCAGAAGACTGGGTCTGGTCCCACATCTGGGGCCCTCCCCTTACAATGATTGTCTCCCATTCTTACTCCTGCAAGTCCAGTCCCTTCCAAGACTACGGATCCAAAGGCACAGTTAGGGAAGCTGGACCTCCTGGTTCCCCTCCCCGGACGGCCCCCGGCTCCTCCCTCTTGCAGCCTTCTGACTCCACTGGGCCCGGGGAAGCCCCGGTTTGGAGCTCGCCGTGGTCCCAGCTCTACACCTGCTGCCCGTCACCTCCCAGCCTCGGCCGATGCCTCTGCTGGTCTCCCTCTGCGCCCAGCCCGCGGCTGCCAAAAGCCAGCACTTCTCTGGGCTGAGTTCACCACCTCCACCACCTCACCGCACTCCCACAGAAGCTGTCTCTGGCTGTCACTCCTGCCTTGCGCCTGCCCTACGCGCTGCCTCCTCAGGGACCCCCCATCGGAGTCTGCCTGTTTTTGCCGCCCCCACTGGCCTTCCGGGGTCCTGGGCTCCATCCCATCGATTCCTCTGCACCTGTTCCCATTCCTCTGCCGGGTGCCCGTCTCTCCCGGTCCGCTCTGCAGCCCCTGGCCTCCCTGTCCGGTGCGCACGGCGCTCTCCTCCCCTGGGATTGCCCCCACGCCGCCTCTCCCGCCAGCTGCCTCGTCTTTGCCCGGCCCGGTGCCTGGCGCCCTCGGACTCGCCTGCCCCTCCTTTGTCTCCCCTCTCCCCCCAGCCCCGGCTCCTCGCCCTGGCGCTCTGGCGCTCCGGCGCTCCCGGCTCTCCCGGCTCTCCCGGCTCTCCCTCGATCGGACTTTCCCTCGCTCTGCGCCCCTGCCCCACATCTCTCGGCTCTGCTCATCCCACTCAGGGCCCGCGCTCCCTCCCTCCCTACTCCTCGGCTCTCTCCGGCTCCCTCTCTCGCCTCGGATGACAGCGCTACCTCTTTTGTTGGCTCCGTAGCCAATCGCCGCCGCTGACGACACGGGGGCCGGGGCTATAAAGGGCCTGGCCCGGGCTCGGGCCCCCCCAGCCGCCCGCCCCGGCCGCCCGCCCGCCCCGCCCGCGCGCCCGCCGCCCCCGGCCCCCCGGCCCCCCCTCGGCCGGGCAGCCCCCAATCCCGCGCCGCCGGGACCCCCTCCTCCTCCCTCCCTCTTCCCTCCGCCCCCTCCCCGCGGGACTCCGGCGTCCCCGCCCCCCAGTCCTCCCTCCCCTCCCCTCCAGCATGGTGCTCGCGGCCCCGCTGCTGCTGGGCTTCCTGCTCCTCGCCCTGGAGCTGCGGCCCCGGGGGGAGGCGGCCGAGGGCCCCGCGGCGGCGGCGGCGGCGGCGGCGGCGGCGGCGGCGGCGGCGGCGGCCGGGGCCGGGGGGGAGCGCTCGAGCCGGCCGGCCCCGTCCGTGGCGCCGGAGCCGGACGGCTGCCCCGTGTGCGTGTGGCGGCAGCACAGCCGCGAGCTGCGCCTGGAGAGCATCAAGTCGCAGATCCTGAGCAAGCTGCGGCTCAAGGAGGCGCCCAACATCAGCCGCGAGGTGGTGAAGCAGCTGCTGCCCAAGGCGCCGCCGCTGCAGCAGATCCTGGACCTGCACGACTTCCAGGGCGACGCGCTGCAGCCCGAGGACTTCCTGGAGGAGGACGAGTACCACGCCACCACTGAGACCGTCATTAGCATGGCCCAGGAGAGTAAGTGCGCTGCGGGGAGCGGGCGGTGGGATGCGGCTTCGGCTGCCCCGGCCCAGAAGGCTTTTCTGCGGAAACTTGACGGGTTGGGGATCTGGGGCTACTCCGCAGAAGTTTTCCGAGCGGTGGCGATGGGCTGCCGAGTTGTGTGCACACCCCGCTCTCGGAGGTGGGGGGAGCGAACCGGGCGGGTTGCGAGATGCTGCCTCCCACCCCGGGGTACGAAAGGCCCTGTCGAGGAGTTCGGGGAAGCCAGGGCCCGCAGCCAGGGGACCGGGCAGCGAGACTCTGTCCCGAAGGGCCTTGGGGAGCCTGGGGAGGCTCCGGGACCCCCGCAGTTCCCGCTAGGTTGCGGTGCTCTCGGCCCTCTCCGCACGCACCCGCCGGGCTGCAGAAAACTGAGTGCGCCCCAGCTCTCCCCGAACAGCAAACCCAGAGCCCTGGGTCGCTCCTGGCAGCCTGGCTGGCACCCTTTGCGTCCTGAGCCGCATCTCTCACCGGGTATCCCAGGGGCCCGGGAAAGCTTTGCCATCTCAGTCGGTACTGACAGAGCTCAGCCAACTCAATTCCGTCGTGCTGGGAGCTGAGGACCCCCGTTTGGCTACTGAGACCTCACTGTTCCATCCCTTACTTGACCGTCCTTGTGGACAGCTGGACTTAAGGAGAGAAGGGGAAAGAAGTAGATGGTGAGGGTAGGGGGCTGGGGACCCAGGCATCCGAGCTGTGGGCCAAACGGAAGATGAACATGTTAACAGACGGGGGCTGCTTTGAAATTTTATGGCCTGGAAAATCCAGGCCAATACTATACCCCCACACCACCAACAACCCCAGCTCTCCCTAGGGTCAGGTGACTCCCCTTTCCCCTCCCCCACTGACCCCCCAACTCCAGGGAACCAGGCCTTGTCTTACTCCCCAGTGGTTTGGCAAGGTTTCCCCCCAACTCCACACACGCACACACACACACACACACACACACACACACACACGAGTTTGGTTTTATGGCTCTGAACAGAAGAGAGGGGGAGCCTGGTTTATTGGCAGATGGGTCATAAAAAGCTGGGGGCTGCAGGGATCCTTGGTGGCCCACCCCCATGGGCAAGGCAGGGAGCCCAGGTGTGCGAGTAGGAGGCTGGGCGGCTCCGGGATCCTGCAGATCTCCACGCGCTGGACTCGGTCAGCACTGGGAAGAAAAGAAAACTCAATGACCGGGGAAGGAACGGGGCCGGAGTGGTGAAGGCGTGGGGACCCAGCCTTGGCTTCCTCAGCCTCCCTCTGCTGGAGGAAGCCAGGGTCAGTCTGAGACTGGGGGCAGGGGTGGGGGGTTCTAGGAGTCAGAGTTGTAGAAGAAGGTGGGGTACAGGGGAAGACACTTTGGTCTGCGTGGTGCAGTGTGCCTGAACGTTCCCAGGCCGGGCAGTGGGGCTGTGGACTTCCCTTTCCTTCCACTAGCCCTGGCATCCCTGAACCCACAGGCCCCAGAGCTCTCTCTGGTGATGGGGTTGCAGGAAGTGAACTGACCCAGCATACACGGACTGGGCCGCGCAAGTTGGGCCTGGGAGGGGGTAGCACCAGCAGGTGGGGCCGCACCCCAGCTTTGCCCCTATGCCACCCCAGGACTTGGATAACAAGGGAACTGGATCTCCGGCCAGGTATTGTACGTCCCCTTTAAGAGCCTAGCTGCGCTCTTAAGAGAGGGAGGGGGAGCGGAGGGGAGGGGAGGGAGAGAGGGGAAAAGGAAAAAGAGACTTTTATAGTCTAATCCCCAGGGACCCGCTTTAATAAGAGACTTGTGCTCTGCTAATCGGGGGAGGTGTTTGTCAGCAGAGATGGCCTCCTCTCCCCTCCCCCTCCCTCCCCTCCCCCAGCCCTCAACCCTGGACCCCAGCCCCCACCTCTCCTAGGCTGCTATGCCTGCCCTAGTTCCCTGTACCCTCTCAGGCTCTCCCACCCCAGCCCCCTGCTCTTCTAGGAGCCAAGTCCAGCCCCTCAGTCTCTCTCTCCTCCCCGCGCTAAGAGGCCCCTGCCCTCTGAGCCCAGCCTCCAGCCCCTAGGCCTTCCAGCCTGGGTTGGGAGAGTGTGTGTTGAGGGGGGCGGGAGGGGGAGGCGGTGAGCAGGGAGGGGGTTGGGCTTTTGCTGAAAATAGTGCAATGACCTCTCTCCCCCACCAGCGCCGCCTACTAAACCTGACCTGCTGCCTGCCACCAGCCCGATCAATCCAACACAGATGTGGCCCCCTCCCCTCCCTGTGTGTTGGGGACTCCCAAGCCCCCCGTTTCCCTCTCAGCTCTACCTCCTCCTCCTTTGTTCCTCCCTCTGTCCCCTTTCTATCCTTTCCCGTCTCTACCTCGCTAGGCTCAGTGCCCCACACCTTGGGCTTCCTAGCCCCACCCACTTCTGTTCCACAGGCCCAGGTTCTCCAACTCCCAAACTTACTCCTCTCTCCTCTGTCCCTACTCTCGCCTCCCTTTCTCTGCCTCTGCCTCTGCCTCGACTTCATCCCTAAATCCCATCTTTCTTCTTACCTTTCTTACCATCTCCAGTCGCCCTTTTCTTTCTATGTGCCGTCCCTACATCCATGGGGGAAGGACATGGTGATTCCCTGGTGTCAGAGGAACCAGACTTACAGGGACGGTGCCTAGTCCCCAGTCTTCAAACGCTGTTGTCAGCCTAGGTAGGGGCACATTCTGAGCTTAAAAAACTAACAAACTAAGAATCGTAGAAGTTACTATTATTTTCACACTATTTCACTTTATTTAATGATCACCATTCCTATGAAAAAATAATGATTGTCTATGACACCAAGAAGTTTTGTGGGTGAGGTCAGATACTGGCTAACAAGGAGTCAGGCACTGAATGAACCCTCTTTGATTGTAGCCAAGGAACAGAGTTGAGATATCACGAAGAACTTTCTGGCACTTGCCAGTATAATTAAGAGTTTAGAGTTCATTCAGCACACATTTGCTGAGAACTGCCTGGTACTACAGGAGGTGCTAAAACTACAATGATGAGCAGAGTAGACACAGTGTTAACAGACCATGTTTATCCTCCTGGAGGTTACTTTTAACAAGAAAATGGACAATCCCTATTCTGACGTGAGGCACACTTTACCATGTGGGTATTTGCTTGTCACTCTCCATCTCCCCATCTCCCCAATAGCTTCCTTGCCCCAGCTATGCTTTTTTTTTTTTTATAAATTCTTGCTTTTTAAAAAGATTTTATTTATTTATTTTATTTGATAGAGATAGAGGGAGAGAGAGAGAGAGAGAGGGAGAGACAGAGAGGTCTTCCATCTGTTGATCCACTCCCCAGATGGCTGCAATGGCCAGAGCTGTGCTGATCTGAAGCCAGGAGCCAGGAGCTTCTTTCGGGTCTCCCACATTGGTACAGGGGCCCAAGCTTGATGGTACTTGGGCCATCTTCCACTGCTTTCCCAGGCCATAGCAGAGAGCTGGATCAGAAATGGAGCAGCTGGGACTAGAACTGGTGCCCTATGGGATGCCAGTGCCACGGGCAGAAGCTTAGCCTGTTATGCCACAGCACCGGCCCCCCAGCTATGCTCTTAATCCCTGAGTCACCACCCCCCAAACCCTGCTCCATCACACCATCACTGCAGCTATGACCAGGGGGTACCTGGGGACCTACTAGAGTCCTGGGGCTCCGAGGAGTCAAGGGAAAAGAAGCTGCAGAGAATTTTGTGTATCATGTCCTGCATGTATGAAATTCACTGAGCACTTTCCTGTTCATCTCACTTCTCTGGGGGTGGGGTGCTGATGGGATTCAACAGAACTTAAGTCCTCCATGATTAGCTCAACACTTGACCATGACACACAAGGGCCTGTACCCTCTGACTGTACTCACATGGCTCTGGAAGCTCATTTCTGATTCTTCCAATCTATGCAGAGTGAGGCTGGGTATTGCTGTCCAAGGGAGGCATGATTGAGAGCATTCCCAACTGACTTAAGAGATTTGGAAAAATGGGGCCGGCGCTGTGGTGTAGTGGGTAAAGCCACCACTTGCAGTGCCAGCATCCCATATGGGCACCGGTTCGAGTCCCGGCCACTCCACTTCCAATCCAGCTCTCTGCTATGGCCTGGGATAGCAGTAGAAGATGGCCCAAGTCCTTGGGCCCCTACGCCCATGTGGGGGACCTGGAGGAAGCTCCTGGCTCCTGGCTTCAGATCAGTGCAGCTCCAGTTAGGGAGTGAATCAGCGGATGGAAGACCTCTCTCTCTGCCTCTCCTCTCTCTGTGTAACTCTTTCAAGTAAAATAAATAAATCTTAAAAAAACAAAAAGATTAGGAAAGGGAAGTGGGTCAGAAGCTGGAATGGAAGCAGGACTCCTCCCGTAGACTCAAGATGGGTCCCCTTATGTATCAGAACAAGGGGAAATGGGGCAGAGATGGAAAGACCCACGGGCACTGGGCTGAGATGCCGAAGGAAGCAGCTCAGGGGAAAGGAGAGGGCCAGCTCTAACTGCTCTGTATGTTCCCTGTCATTACATAGGTCGTTCCCCACGCTTCTAAGAAGCTCAACCCATCATAGCAACAATGACAAGGAAGCAGCTCAGGAAACTTTCTTAGGAGAGAGGGAATGGGGAGTTGAGTGCACAAGTGCTTGGGTAATCCTGTTTCACTGAGTGTAGATCTGAAATTCGGACAAGGTGATATAGGGTAACAGGTGTGGTAAGAGGTATGGCTCCCACGAAAAGCATCAAAGATTCGGAAAAAGTTGGAGCCCCATGTCCTGGGAAAAGTTGAAAGAAAGGATGCAGATCAAGGGAGAATTCCCTGCTGACTGTCTCTGCAGGTTACCTGGTCAGGGGAACCAATGGAATAGGGGATGGGCTCAAGGAAGTAGGTCTGGCAGAGCCATCACCCTCCGGAGAGTATATGGTAGTCAACAAGACAGGCATAAAAGGATAAAGAGCTGTAAAACTCAGGCCGAGGAGCCCAAAACTGCCAACGCTGCGCAGGACCCCCTCCACGGCACCCTTTGCTGATCCTGTGTCCCCTTCTCTCTTACCAGCCGACCCTGCGGTGCAGACAGATGGCAGCCCTCTCTGCTGCCATTTCCACTTCAGCCCCAAGGTGATGTTCACAAAGGTACTGAAGGCCCAGCTGTGGGTGTACCTGCGGCCAGTGCCCCGCCCAGCCACGGTCTACCTACAGATCTTGCGACTGAAACCCCTGACTGGGGAAGGGACCGCAGGGGTAGGGGGAGGAGGACGTCGGCACATCCGTATCCGCTCACTCAAGATTGAGTTGCACTCGCGCTCCGGCCACTGGCAGAGCATCGACTTCAAGCAAGTGCTCCACAGTTGGTTCCGCCAGCCGCAGAGCAACTGGGGCATCGAGATCAACGCCTTTGATCCCAGTGGCACAGACCTGGCTGTCACCTCCCTGGGGCCAGGAGCTGAGGGGCTGGTGAGCAGGGGGCCTGAAGTGGTGGTGGATATGTGTAACCTGGCCCTAAGGAGGTGGGGATGTTGGAAAAGGTGGACCAGGAATGTGAATGGGGTTGGAGACCAGCATTATTTGTCTGGGGCTAGAGGAGTTGAGGGGGTGGGGCGGCAACTATCACTTTTCAGGGATCCAAGCCAGAAAAGAGGTGAAACAGGATTTGGGGTGAAGGTGTCAGTTAACAGGAGATCCATGGGAACACAGAAACTGGCTGTTAATGAGGCCCTGGGCCAAGGGGCTGCTGAGGGTTAGGTTGCCAGAAAAGGAAGAATTAGGTAAGGTGAGCCGAAGGAGAGATGGCAAGCTGGCAAGAGGAGTGGGCAGCAGATAAGGTGTGGGGGTGGGAGCAGTGGAAGAGGTGAGAAGCCAGTGGTGTCTGTTCTGACACCCCTGTTGAGGCAGGCGGGAAAAGAACAGGGCAGAGGAACTGCTCAGGGCTGTGTCACATCTCTTTCCCCTCTCCCTGACCCTCAGCACCCTTTCATGGAGCTTCGAGTCCTAGAGAACACAAAACGGTCCCGGCGGAACCTGGGCCTGGACTGTGATGAGCACTCCAGTGAGTCCCGCTGCTGCCGATACCCCCTCACGGTGGACTTTGAGGCTTTCGGCTGGGACTGGATCATCGCACCTAAGCGCTACAAGGCCAACTACTGCTCTGGCCAGTGCGAGTACATGTTCATGCAAAAGTATCCGCACACCCATTTGGTGCAACAGGCCAACCCAAGAGGCTCTGCTGGGCCCTGCTGTACCCCCACCAAGATGTCCCCAATCAACATGCTCTACTTCAATGACAAGCAGCAGATTATCTACGGCAAGATCCCTGGCATGGTGGTGGATCGCTGTGGCTGCTCCTAAGGTGGGGGACAGTGGATGCCTCCCCCACAGACCCTACCCTGAGACCCCCAGCCCTGGCCCCCATTCCCCCCAAGCCCTACAGCTCCCTCCACCTCTCCCCATGAACATCACACCTTGTTCCCTGACCAAGCAGTGTGCAATACAACAGAGGGAGGCAGGTGGGGATTGAGAGGTGAGGGGTCTGGGGAAAGGGGAAGGAAGGGCATGGTCAGGGTGGGGAGCGTCTGAGGTTTGCAGGTGAGAAGGTTTGGCAAGAAGACAGAGAGGTATAAGAGACAGGTATAGAGATGGTGGAACAAAAAGAGCCGCAGGGAGAAGGCAAAGGGATAGAGAGGCAGAAGAGACAGAGACTAGGCAGAGACAAACACTGAGAGAGACCGAAACGGAGGAATAAAGGAAAGCCCCACACCGAGCCTCCTTCCTTCCACTGGCAAGGTGAGGGGCTTGGTATGGTCTGGGGAGATCCCCCAACTACTCAGTAGGAGAGGAAATCAAAAATCCATTCTTAGCTTCTCCCTTCTTTCCCTTCATCAGTGGCCAGGGGAAGGGAAGTGAGGGCAGGGGCAAAAGTTAAGGATTTGGGAATTTATTTATTTATTTATTATGACTTTACATTTTTCTTTTGGTATTTGGCTTTACTGGAATAGGAGGACCCCTGCCCAGTGCCCCATTTTTCCTTTATTTCCCGAACCCTGCACTCCCCTAACACCCACCCGCTTAAGCACTTGTATAAAGCCTCCAGGGTTGGGAGTGGGAGTAAAGGGCAGGAGGACTGGCACGTGGAAGTTTTTAACCTGCAATCACCCTAACTCAACCTTCCTGAGCCAAACGGGTTGAACTGAAGCCACTGGTCACAGAAACAGTAAAAGGTTAGGGTTTATGAGCTGGGGTGGGGGGAGCCCTCGATATCCAGGATCAGTATGATGAGAGCCACTGAACTAACCCTTAGGCCCACCCTCATGTGTTATTTAGCCAAAGGGTGCCGCCTGCTTATGCCCAAATTCCCCTCAGCCAAGAGAGACCAAAGAGCCTGTGGAATGCCCCTGCCCCAGCCGCCACTTTCAGGTCAAAAAAACAAAAAAAGGGTATAAAGACCCCAGAGTCCCCCAGGTCTAGCAAAGGTTCAGAGGGGCCGAGAAGGCAAAAGTATGGAGGCTGAAGGTTGCAGGGCATCTGAATCCAAATCACTGCTCTGGGCTAGGGAACAGAGCCAGCAGACCAAGGTAGAAGGGATTCCGGAGCGGGGGGCATTTTAGTCCCCCAACCCCAAAGCTCAGGGTGGAAAGAGGGAGAGCAAGAGAACAGAGTGTCTATAATTATTTTTATCTTTTATTTTTGGAATCTAGCAGTCCCTGGCAGCAGGGAAGGGACCACGCAGTGGGGAAATGTGCCTGACAAGGCCAGTTAGAGCAGAGGACGGGAGGGCTAGGAAGCAGGCAGATACCGGCTGCCACTTCAAGTCACTTAGCTGAGCCCATTCGCTCCTCCCACAACCCTGACCACCCTCCTCTGGACGCACTGTGCCTCAGCTTCTTCCCCTCAATGGAGTGAGAAATAGCAGCACCCGCCACAGCCAAGAGATGAATTCTGAGCACTTACCACGGGCACTTTATGGACATAAAATACCTCTCGCTGTGGGACAGATAACCAGGGCACCAGAGTAGTGGTGAAGAGATGAGGCTAGAGGAGCACAGGCTTCAGAGTGCAAGTTCCCCTCTGCCTCCCAGCTGGACAGTGCCTGAAGCCGAGGAGCTGAGAATCTCCACACCGCATCCACACCTTACCACCAGCCTCTGGGCTCCAAGAGAGAACCAAGAGGCTGTCAGGAGGAGATGGGAAGAACTTTCCACAAGACTGTCACTCTAAGTAGGACCAGCAGTTATGGGTCTGATACAAACAGTACTGAACTGAAGTACAGCCTGTAGCTGGTAAGCGTCCCTGGAAGGCTTGTTCTTCCCAAGAGCACGACTCTCACTTGGCCAAGATGGTAAGCTTTAGCATCTTATTCCTATTCTCACAGTGAGAAAGTGATGTGAAGTTTTCCAGCAGAGGAACGGATAGCTGTTAAGCTTTTCTACTCACCTCCTCCCATACAGCAGCTATGTTAACCCCAAGTTTCTCCTCTCTGGCCCTGCTCACCCTTCTGCCCCGATCTTGGAGAACAACACACACTGACCAGCAACACCGTTTTCCCTTGGTGGAGGGAGAAGAACAGAGAAGTGAAGAACAGAAGACGCTTCCAAGTTCAAATGCCTCTTGTGCTTGGCACGGGGTGGGAGTTGGGCAGCAGGCACCAGGTAACTTCCCTCTACAGATTCTAGAGAGCTAGGGTATTGAACTTGGGGGATACTTAGAACATTGCCCCTTTAATACCACCAAATAAAGACCCTTGGGGGAGTTTCTTTTATGAACATATATCTATGAGCTGAAGTCTCATTCCCCTATTCCTTCCCTACACCCAAAGAGGCATAGGGTAAAGAGGCTTGGCACGGCCTTACAGCCCAGCGGGAGCTAGCACCCCTTTTCACCTTATGTGTGTGGACCTGGCCAGTGCCTCTCCAAACATATCATTATTAGTGTAATTATTCACTTTGTGTATTTGTTACATCATGTGCGTGATTGCCTTTGTTTGTTAAGGGTGTCTGAAGAGAATGGGACTGACGGGGGCACTGGAATGCCGGGAAAAGGACTTCTTCACTGAGATAAAGGCTTCCTGGAGGGAACCATTGCAAAAAGGCCATCTGGCAGTTTTCAAGTTATGTGACAGAGGGCAAAGATGGCCATAGGGTGCTCTGAGTTTTGGGATAGTCACATGACACAATCCAGCACTTGAACCTGAAAAAAGAAAAATAAAAGCAGTCAAAGAGTTTAGAATTTAGTACTGAGCTCTTCTCCCTAATCAAGCGCCACATTTGTACCTTGGAGACCAGGCATCAAGTAAGATCTGAAAGAGGAAACCTTGTACTCAAGGACTAAAAAGATGGGGTCCGCACAGCAAGCAAAGAAACACTAAGGGCATATGGGAAGAGGGTGGGGACATGCAGCCCCAGGGAAGATGGGCAGAGGACCTAGAATAGCTCTTCTCTAGAGTTTGACCCCAAACAGTCCCAAAGCTGATAGAAACTCTCAGCCTCCACAGAATGGCCAAGGCGGAAAATTCTCGAGGTGACCCAGCTCGTCTGTCATCTGCCGTCCTTGATCCTGGGTTTCATCAACCAAGTTTCACTAAAACCCACAAACCAAACCATAGCCATTCAGTTTGTCAGTGGAACAAGAGTGATTAAGCATCTCAAATATTTGAGTCCAATGTAAATATTTCTCCCTTGCACCTATAGCACAAGTCTCAGGGCATAAGAGTTAGCAGCAAAAGAATTTTGCCTCACATTTAAAAAAAAAAAAAGGAAAGCTGCCAGGACATCAAGCTGATCCAGAAAGCACAGGGCCCTTGCAAGGGTTCAGTGTGCCCCCACACCTTCCCTGCCCCGGCTGTGATATCCACAGACTGACCCTACCCCAGACCAATTCTAAAAGTGAGCTTAAAACTGGTTAACAAAAGTGCTATGGGTTGTATTCCGCCAAGGGAACTGCTTTACCTATGCCTACTTTTCGCTCTTGTCCTGACTAAATGGGTTTCTTCCCCTACTGCTCATTTGTCTCCTGTGTTAGGAGGATGCCCAGAAGAGGCTACAAGATGGCATTTTTAGAAAAATGTATTTATTTTCTTCTACTGCAAAGAGTAACAGGGATAGAGATGTTCCATCCATTGGTTCACTCCCCATATGCCTGGACTAGGCCAGAAGCCAGGAACTCCATCCTGGCTTCCCATTTAAGTGGCAGGGGTCCAAGCACTCGGGCCATCTTCTGCTATCTCCAAGGATGCATTAGCAGGAAATAGGATTGGAAGTGGAATAGCCAGGACTCAAACTGGCACTTCAACAGGGATGCAGATGTCACAAATGGGCTTACTGTGCCACCACAACACATGTCCTTTATCAGATGACCTTTTTAAGTCTTTTCTAAGACATTCTTCAAACCAGTACATGCAGCTCTATACTCTGCCTTTGTCTGTTTTTGGATGTGAGCAACCCTAGGCTAGGAACCATCAGACTAAACCTCCATTTAGTCTTGTGGAGCAGAAGCAGGAATGTCAGTGTTCCAGGTGGGGATGTCACCTTTCCTGACAGTAAGCTAGGGTTAATGTAGCAACTCGAACTCTATCTCTTCCAAGTCTCCAAACCTCCAAATACAACTGCATAAGCGGGTACCACAAACATACTCAACCTGTCTGCTTACCCTCCACCCTCTAACTGGCACCTACTCAGGGAACCTACCCCAATCACCTAGTAGAATTAAGAGGTAATATTTATAGGAAGTTTTCTATGCAAACAATGGTGAGCCAACTGTTCTAAGTACATAACGTGATAATATCAGTTAATTTTCACAGCATCCTTCACAAGGAACGGTTCCTATTGGTACAGAGTCTGGAAAAAGTCAAAGATAAGTAGTTTGCCAAAGGTCTCAGAGCAAGTTATGTTGGAACAAGGAATTAAATCTAAGTAGCTGCTACACAATTTTACATTTTAATCTATTCTATTAAGTGACCTGAGAGGTGGAAAACTAAACACAGGAACATCAGAGGAAAAAAGCAATAAGAAAGGAACAGAACATTTTGAGTTCAAATTTTCATTCTCTTTGGAGAAAAGAAATTATTAGTCTGGCAATAGCAAGAGGATGGATTCGATTTTTGGGAGATTTCACTAATTAGAAGCAAATTGTACTGTACGTCAGAGGCATTCATAAAAAAGATCATTGAAAAAGGTTATCCTCTTATATATAAAAGCCCCTCACCCACTGTTTCTCATGTCAGACATAGCAACAGGACTCAGCTCAACACCAAGAAGCCCCGCCCTTATTTATACCTGCCTTCCTATGGCCCCACCTCCACAGAAGCCTCTAGCCTTCTATCTTCAGCAGTTCTCAAGAGCTGGGGTGCAGGGAAGGGCAGTTTAAAGTGATGGTAGAAAAAAAGAATGAGCCTAGAGAATCATAAATGTGCAGATTTACAGCTGGGGAAACCAGTTCCCTCCACGGCTTTACAGACCGCCTCATTAAGAGCTTCTAGGTATACAGAGAATGCCATACCTTCAGAACAAGGAAATGACAGTCAGCTAACCACAAGTGCATGCTCGATCAAACTAGGAAGACTGGAGGACAGGAGGAAGGGTGTCTGGACCCCAGAATTACAAGCCTGTTTGTTTATTTTGTCTCCAAATGCAATGACTATTTTAAGACTGAATTAGTAAAAATACATATGTATCCTGAACTATTCCTACTCAAGGAGTATGTGTGGGATTAGTACAATGAGACAGGGAAGAGGAAGATCTAGTAATCAGACTTGGAAGTTAGAGACTCCTGACCAACATATAAACAGTTGCTGGAATGGTATGAAAAAAGTAAAGAAATTCCCACCATTGGGAAATACTGTATCAAAAATTGGGAGCAATGAGCTGAGTGAGAATGACTAGGTTTCAAGAAGAGAATCCTGGGGGTTTAAGGTTTTTAGAAGGTTAGGGGTGACCAAGAGACAGGGTAAAGAAAACATCTACAAACCCATTACTCCACTCCATTATCAGCATCTGCATTTTTTTATACCCTCCTGGAGTAGAAATTCTCTGAAGTTACAAGAGGAAACTATTTTCTCTGGTTCTGTTTTCAGATGAAGACAAGACAGAGAAGAAAAAGCTAACCCTAAGATCAGAGCCTGGAGTAAAGACAGGGAGGCAGCAGGAAGAAAGGCTGCTCCAGGTGTAACATTTACTTGGTTAAGGAGGCATCCAAAGTTTAACCTTCTTTCCCCTTTGTTCATGTCTCCAAAGCCTCCAAATGGGCAATCCTTTAGCTTTAGCTTCCCAGGTTCTCAGTTTTCTCTCAATGGGTCATTCTAACCTGCTGGAGTAAAAATTCAGCATTATGTGTCCTCTTGGATAAAGTGGAAAAAGAGGTAAAAAGATGTCTGCTAGCCAGCCCGAGAGTAAAAACAAGCTACAGGAGAGATTCCAACCTTTTCCTTATCTTTTCTAAGGGATAAAGAAATTATGGTTAATTCCCTATATTTACCCCAGAAGCTCCCTTAATCTGGCTCCAAGAACTTAAAGGATCACCTAATAAAACACAACGTTCTCTTTTCTATTTTTTTATTAACAAGCAAAATAATTAAAAACAAAAACACAACAACCTTACAGCTGAACAGCAATAAGTCAAATTGCTGCTGGAATTCACGGATGTACCTGGGGTACACGCTCCCTCACAGTGAGGCGGGATGTGGGCACATCACTGTGCATTTAGGTATATATATATATATATATGTGACCAAGAAGAATCAGAGAAATGGAAACCACTATAGAACAAAAAGCATCAAGAACTCTTCATCAGGCAATGCCAAAGCGCTCTGCTCTTTTCCTCTTCTTTGCCTGTAAAGAAAAAGCAGTAAGAAAAAAAAAATTAGGTTGCAAGACAACAGTGGCCCAAGTTCCTGGCTGTTTTAAACCAAACTTACATGCACTGTCAGAAGGCCCAGACATAAGCTTGGCAGCCAACTATTTCATTCCCCAATCTTTCCAGTTATCCATTTAGAACTGGGGAGGTTTAGTGGGAAAAGAGGGTGAGGAGGAACGGAAAACGGGCAGGGCAGAGTGAACAGTAGAAAGATTCCTGAAGTCCAGAGGACCGTTCAGCCTACAACAAGGTAGCCTAGAAATAGTGGGTTCTTAACAGATTGGGAAGTCTTCCAGTTAGTGAGGATATGGGAGACTTCTCAGATGCTATTCAGGGAAAAGGAGCAGGATGCCCTCTGAGCAATCAGGCTCAGCAGCAGTTATTCTTTAGGCTTCCAGTCCACTGAGAGGCATATGAATTGTCAATACCAACAGAATATACTGAAGACAGGACAGTGTTTGTAGACAAGTTCCTGTCAAGGGAGACAACACCAAAGACAGGCACAAAAAATCAGGGTAGTTGAAAGGCTTGATATTCTGGGAGTGATTCACAAAACAGCACTGACGGGGCCGGTGCTGTGGCGCAGCGGGTTAAAGCCCTGGCCTAAAGCGCCAGCATCCCATATGGGTGCCAGTTCTAGTCCCAGCTGCTCCTCTTCCGATCTAGCTCTCTGCTATTGGCTGGGATAGCAGTAGAAGATGGCCCAAGTCCTTGAGCTCCTGCATCCACATGGGAGACCCGGAAGAAGCTCCTGGCTTCGGATCAGCGCAGTTCCGGCCACTGCAGCCATCTGGGGAGTGAACCAGTGGATGGAAGACCTCTCTCTCTGTCTCTACCTCTCTCTGTCACTCTGTCTTTCAAATAAATAAAATAAATCTTAAAAAAAAAAAAAAAAAAAGCACTGAGTACTTCAACTTCAC